TGCATAACATTGCTTTCAAAAACGCAGACTGCAAGAGTACTTTATTAAGCACCTGTTGACCAAGCACGCCAAAACCTTGCCATTTCCTTTTAGCTGCTATGTATGCCAGTATTTTTAAGATTAGACACAAAGCTTTTTATTTCAATAAAGCTTACAGTTAGGGCTGATTAGGTGACCCTGAACTAGCTCCTTCTCATGTTACAATGAGCTCAGTCTGCTGAAGGACTTTCTGTAACGTGCTGATTATTTCTTCTCCCCTGACGTCTTTTTCCCCTCCATGTGTTTATACATCACTGCATATCATTATATGTGTCCTCCGTCTCCCTATGTTCTTTTTTTTACTTTTCTCTCCAACCCATCCCTCAGCCAATTGCAGCAGATGGCTGCCCTTCCCTGAGCATGGTTTCATCCTGTTGAAAGGGAGTTCTTCCTTCCCACCGTTGCCTAGTGCTGCTTACAAGGGGTTGTCTGATTGGTGTTTTTCGCAAAAATTCACCAGCCCAATCTACAATAAACTAATATCTTTCTTAATTTAAGGAATTCATACAATTGGTTATTTATTTATTCATGTTTAGCATCCTAAAATACATCCTTCATCGCTTTGGCTCAAAGCAGGAAGTGAGAGAGACCTCTGTACTTATGGGGACATTCTGGATTAGAGGAAATTAAATAGGTTTGCTTTCCTCAATTCATATTAAATGCTTTAAAATTTCAATTAAGTACTTCTCTGGCGATTACACCGAATAATATAGCCCATCAAGGAGCTGCAGATTTCAAACAGACAGAATAAATGGAGAATTACAACTGGAAAAAAAGAATTGCCTCTTTTAATTTGAACACAGTCAAAAAAATTAATTTTTAAGCCAAATTAAGCCTTATTGATTTCATAAAGCAGATACGACAAAAAACCTTCTTATTCATTTAAACTATGCTTGCAGGATAAATTTAATATTTAATTTACTTTTTTTTTTCAAGCTATTAAAGGACTTTAATTTTCCCCCCTTTAAAAAAATCGACTGTACTATGTGCCTCTAGTGTAAGTGTGCTCCCTGATAGCTGGACATTAAAGTTGGATTAAAAACGCTTTGAGATTTCGATGATAATTTGCACTACCTGATAGAGTCCGAAGTCCAGCCGCAGTGTGGCGACATAGCGAGTCTCGCGGCCACTGCGAACGTCTCGCAGCTCCAGCTGGAGGTCGTGCCACCGGCCGTCTGCCACTTGAACCTGATCCAACCGCAAACGCACCGGTCTGGTTGAGCCGCGGGTCACCGAAAAGACCAGCTGACCATTAATTACCTGATGAGAGCGAGAAGAATAAATGAATAAATAAAATTCGCAAATCACATTAAAAGAAAAACAAAAAGAAGAAAAAAGAGGGAGAGGGAGAAAAAAACGATCCACTGCTATGACTGTGTGAGTGTGACTGTGTGTAGGAGCGTGAAATCCGACGTCTTGGCTCAGCTTCCACCGAGATTCTGCTAATTTAAAACACTCTTTGGATTTAGCATCTGAAACTTAACGTATATAAACAAGATCAAATTGTGTTTAAGCCTAAATGCAGTTAAAGCTTTTTGAGTTTCTGGTGATGGTGGAAAGGTTGGTGAAAGGAAGGGCACCATTTATAGATGTACTCACAATCAGTGTTTCAGACGGTGAAACATAAGAAGCTCCTTCAACACCAGATATGGATACTTTTAAAGAAATGTGAACTGCTTTCAGACTCCATGGAGCCTGGTGTTATTTAAAAGGGAACAGTAGTCCCAGCTGTAGACTCTTTTATTATTATTAAAATGTAAACCACTGAATTTCCACTAATACTACTTCTTCTTTTGGCTGCTCCCTTTAAAGGTCGTCACAGCAGATTATCCCAATCCATCTCAGCCCATCCCTCCTCCGTCACATCAACCCTCTGCAGTTTTATCTTCAACATCCTCAATATCCCTCCTCCGCTAACCATCTCGGCCTTGCCTCTTAAATGTTAAATGTGTTGGTGCCCACCTGGAACACCAGGCTGATATACTGGCCAGCCTGGGCCTGCAGCAAAGTCCCTTCACGGGCTCTGGTTCTGAACACCAGGCCGAGGTACCAGGGTGCGGAGATGGTTACGTCATTCTTCAGGTCCCACCAGAGGGCGCTGTTACCCAGAAAGCGGTGTACGTGTGTCATCACTGAGGCGAAGAGAAAAAAACGAAAATGAAAATTAGTGAAATTTCCGAAACTATTTCCAGATGATACTGTTGTCCTTATCCGTCAGTCGGCAACATAATTCTTGTAGTTGTTCACTTTAATATTGTGTGTTTTTCAAAGCACATGTAGCATCATCAGGACTATTGGTTTGTTGGTTAGAAGGACAAACAGACCATGTCTGTTCGGGCATGACGTGATCTTTAATGCATTTCATGCCCAAATAGCTTCCACAGTTGTTTGCTCTCTGTTGTTTAATTACCAATCAAAGGTATAAAAGCTTCCAAAATTAAATGATGAAACATATGTTACACTGCAGTCTCTGAAGTACAAACTAAGTCCCAGAACTTGTGAACATTTGTCACTGAGATCAATAAACACCATGTTTTTTTTTCTTTTTTTCCCCTCAAGTGAATCTTGACGCTTTATTTCCCCTTAGAGTTGGACGTCTGTGCTCGCAATCAAGACATGCCAGTAAAAATAAATGAGTAAAACCACCTGGGCTAGTGAATGTCCACTCATGAGAGGGAAATCTCTAAAGGTTTATTACGGTTCAGTTATACACAGGAAATACAGCCAGATATCTAGTAACAACTGTCTCATGGGCTAAATTTATTCTTAGCTCAGTCTGTTGGACTGTATTTTTCCATCATCAATTCTTCCTTTTTATTTAAGACGGTGCATTCATATTATGCAGGTCAACACTCACTGAGCCACATTAAGTGAAAAGGTGTTATCTGGGGGATTTAAGCTTAGGTAAGCTGTGAACAAATTAATGAAGTGTTAGTATAATTACAGCCGAAAAACAAAGTCCTGTGAAAATCAGGTTTTAAAAATAAAACGTTAAAATCCCAGCCACTGCTAGAAAATGCTCGTTCCACCAGCAACTGTCTTGCTACTTACTAATAATTATGCTGAAGTGGCATGATAAAATTAACATTGTTAAAGGTTGCTATTAGTGTAGTTACTGTAGGGCTACGGAATAAGAAAAATCTCGGCCTCTTACCGTGGCTGCAGTCCTTCCCACCGTATCCTAGGGGACAGTCACAGGAGAAAGTCTCCCAGCTCACACTGCAGGTTCCTCCGTTCTGACACGGGTTGGACTTACAGAAGGGATGTTTGGCACTGCAGCCTAGTGGAAGCAGCAGAGATCACTGAAGTTATAAAAATGAATTGCAACATACTGTACATGATAAGTCTTCATGCTGTCACTGTGAGCTTTATAACATTACCCACACACACAAGCATTTTCAAAATAAAGTTCAACCGATTTTTTGGCTATTTGTTGGTCTGTTGGTATCATAATGACACCAGGAACGACAAATATCTACAATGACCAATAAATGATCAAATTAAAAGGTAAATAAGACTGGAGAAACACCCTTCAACCATGTAATGAGTGTTGATGTTACACTGTTTGTCCATCAGAGGGACCTCTACAAGTTCCCTGTTGTCAACAAGTCTTTGGAACGCCGAACACAACAACCCGCTGGTCAGGCAAAGCGTAATTAATTAATAAATAATTGACTAAAACAAATGTTAAGGAAATGTTTTTCTTTTTGGTATGCCTGAAAGAAATTGGCTAATATTTCTAAAACTCCTCGGTCGGTGTAATTCAGGGTGTTTAAAGTTTTCAGTCTAGTTAAAAACACTCAAAATTGAATGAAAAGTGGTGATCATCATTTTTATATGTTCAAGTGCATAGTGTGGAGGATGTCATAAGGCCTTGAGGCAATCGGATGTAAAACACAATATTTCTGAGTGTTTTATGTTTAAATCGGACAGATTTGCCCTGAATGCGACTGGAAGGTTAAAAGTCATCAAAAATACGATATGAAAATGAAAGATATGCAAACAGTTACACATAGTAGCACAACAAAACAGTGATGTATAACAAATGTTTTCCTTTCATTTCACTGACTATAATAAAAAGTAATGCAAGCACCCAGTCCACCAGTGAAAATCCAATTTCAGTGCAATGAAGCCTAACTATATATGACTATATGTGAAGAAGTGGCTCTACCCCATTATTGTTTCCTATAATGTTTAGAAGCACAAAGTGGTTCGTAGCACACAAACCCTTAAAAGCTACTTCATTTAAATACTAACGTTTGTGTGTGTTTTGCCACAATGGGTGAAAAGGCTATTGAGAAGGAGCTAAATGTTACTAATGCACAATAATACATGTTTGAAGGAAAGCAAACATGGTTCCCAGCACTGACCAGGAAGCGTTCCATTATTGGCGATAAATCCAGCCATGTCCAGCGGTTTGCTATCGATGTGCAGCTCTTTCATGCAACCGATAAACTCCCTGGTGCCAAAGGGAAAGTTGTCTGGCACATTAGGGACTCCACCCAGAAATAATGGACCAGTCAAGTCCAGAGACCTAAGAAACACAAAGATAGAAAGCAAGGAGTAAATATAGTGGAGAACAAATGGGGTTATGGAAGAAACACAGGATTATTCTTCTTCAAGTAAGAGAGGGAGGAGAGAGGGATGAAAGAAGAGGGGGTGAAAAGAAGGCAGAACATGAAAGAGGGTATGAGAGAGGGAATAATCAAACCTAGAGATTAAACATGTCATCAGAGGTAAATGAAATGTGTCATCATTCAGAATCGAAATCACAGAAAAGCAGGGGATGTTGAGGATAAATTAGATAATGGTGTTTTTTAAGGTAAAAATGGAAACAGAGAAGGGACAGACAGATTGAACACAAATACACTGAGAAAGAAAAGGAGACAGATGAAGAGACAGATGAACAAACAGGAGATTAAACAGGAGTTACAGCAACCGTCTTGAGAGAAGAGGTAGAGGTGGATGACAAGATGAAGAAGGAGAAAGGAGACACAATCCGGCAATAAAAGGTGGTAGATATAAGTGCAGCCTGCTCTAGGAGGAAGAGGGGGAATGGCAATGCCAAAGGAAGAAAAAAGCTTGAAAGATAGATGAACAAACAAGAGATTAAGTGTGAGTTACACCAAATGTCAAGAGGCAGATGACGAGACAGATGGGTATTGGGAAGGAAAGAGGGAATACGAGGAGGAAAATTTCGGCGGGATAGAAAGTGACAGTTATGGGACTGCGCTGAGTGAGAACCAAAGAGAGACAAAGTTTTGTCAGCAGAGGACGTCACTGGAAGAGAATGTCAAGACTGAGCAAGAGGCGGGTGGAGAAATGGAAAGGGAGCAAGAGGAAGAGAGGGTTGACGTGTTAGTCTTTCGCCTTCCTCTTTGATCCGTTTTCTTTTCCCTCAGCCTCACTTAGTGCTGACAGACGCGGCAAACGTGATTACAGCTTACAGAGGCGAGGCCAGACATCAACACTATGACACGCTGCTCTTTCAGTGCATGTGCGGATACGCTTTATGTGTATGTGTTTTCTTGCACTTGTTAGTATATATGGAGACATTCGTTGGTTAGACACACACAAACTGTAGCTGAGAAAGAATGAACAAAAGTTCGACAAGGTCAGATGGAACAGGCAGTGCAACGCATTTAAAACCAACAATTTGGATCTTTTAGTCACACCTAAGAGATTGTGTGTGTGAGACGGAGAGACGAGCGGAGATAATGAAAAGAAACGAACATATCCGTGTAGCAGAATGAGACGCCTGGTAACAAGACCGTCAGAGAGATACAGACAGACATGAAGGAGCATAGAGACGTCAAAGAGTCGTGCCTCATTAAAGCCTTGAGTCCCCCGCATAGTTCCCCTACCGTCACCTCATCACCCTGATCGTTACTTTAAAATCCTGTCAGATTTCTAAACTTTCAGCGCGTTTTTTAACGTTTTTTAACATGTAACACCTTTCTGTTTTCTTTTCAAAATATTGATCTCTGCTGTAGGCAATTTTTACAAGCCTGGATAAATATTTTGTTTAAACTTTAGCATTTCAGATGTATGAAACTTTAATTGGTAATTAAGCGAACACAGACATGCTCGGTGAATGCATGTATCTCCCAATGTAATGCTGCTACCCTCAGTCACTTCACACACTCACTTTACTTTACCTTTAGATAGCTTAAAAAGCTACCAGCTGGCCAGCATGTTGCTCATAGCTGCACATAATGACCAGCTTTATTGGTTTTCTACTCAGTAGAAATTGTCTTTGAATATCTGTTAAGCCTCTATTCAGTCACAGATTATGTTTAATGAAAGTTGTCTCTGCAAAGAAGCTGGCAAATCCTGTGCAAACACCTCCCACAGCTCTGGGTCAGTTACTATTCATCCTTTCATTTGCAATGCTGATGGCAAAAGAACAAATTTACCTGCAGGAATTCATCCTAAGGTTCTTTTTTTAAAAATTAATCATTCAGCATTTATTTATCATTTTGACCAAAAAATTTCATAGATTCATTTCATGTTAAAATTAGTTATCTCAGTATGAATATACCAAGTTTATGCTATAGAACAAGCTACAGTATTACACTGTAGTCCTCCTACGCTCTGCTTCAACGTCTTAAAACTGAGAAATTTAAGTCTCCGAATTTAAGAGCCTGAATTCAGTCAAACGGTTGTGATAAAAGCTAAAGGATGCGATACTTATGCTTCCTCTCCAGCTTTGCCACAATGCCTCTCTTACAGCGCTAAAAGCAAGCAAACCCAGCTTACATTAGCTAGAAACTGAGTCACCTGATCACTCAAGTCAGCAAACGGCTGTTTCCCACCGAAAATGAAGATTCAAAAGTGAGCTGCGTGCAGATAACCAGCTAGTTGTAGCCTAGCTGAGCAGTTTGTATCTGATATTAGCATACTGATACAGCATAAACACTGATCTCAAAGTCATGGCGTGTGCCAGAAAGTACTCCTAGCATGATGGCGCAGGACAGTCTTTTGTACATTAGCTCACACATATTTTAAAACACAGTATGAGGTGGGGCGTTTTCACACCTAAAGTTTGTTTACTCTGGTCCAAATCAGTTGATGAGCTTGTAAACTTGTAGCTTTTCCCTGCAAATTAGTTTCTTTCCATATTGAGGAAAACCCAAATGAACTAAAATGCGTCACTACAAATTACATGAGAATGTTCAGTCCGGTCATTAGCCAGATGTTGTACTGGTCATCTACAGTACTTTGCTACATCCCAGATTGCAAGTTTTTTTTAGCTCAAGCTTGATATTTTCTATTCAGTAATGCCCGAAATGAGTGACTGAGTCCAGAAAGTCAGCAGGAAAGTGTTTACAGAACACATACCCATCCCATATACTTCTATAGGACCTTAAGCTGTTTTGTAACACTGTCTGGCTGCCTTCAGATAGAAAGCAGGTATACGGCACTTGCATTTGCACTTTTTTCTTTTTACAGTTTTCTGTAATTTGCATCCATTTTTTGTACCGTCAATGGTTATGACTGAGAAACCGGCTGACATTGGTATATGACCATTAGAAGTTTGGGTCCCAGCAAAGTGTTGCAATTAAGAAGTGAAAAAAGAAAAAAACTTACTTCTTACTGCTGGTTTGTTTGCCCTGTGCAGCACAGCTGTAATTTCCAAGCTGCGTACCAAAGCGAAGTGACAAGGCTGTATCACAGTCATCAACGCTCACCACAGCAATCTTCTCATCTGACGGACCCTGAGCCTCACCACTCATACTGCGCTTGGGCTGGACATCCAGACACAGTCCAAAGAAACAGAAAACCAGTCAACATTCAAGAAATACAAGAGCATTCACTAAATCTAGAGTTTTCGTCATTGCATTGAAACACTACATCAGATACGAAATAGCAGTAAACACATGAGATTAGTATTTACACAAATACTTTGCACAATGACAGGAAGAAAAAAGGGAGAAGCTGTGGTTAGTAGGACATACAGGAAAAAACAAACAAACACATGGGCAAGAGAACAGACTAAGAGCAGAAAGACAGCGCATTCATTCTCCTTACTGTCTGCTGGTGAAAGAAAGGAGGAGCAAAAGAAGCTAAGAAAGGAGAAAGTGTATATGCGCTCTGACACACGCTCATACTCACATAACGTGTAGCAGGCTGAGGAAAATAAAAGAACATGAAGAAAATTAAAGGAGATGTGCGGCGAATGTGCATGAATAAAAATGATGACACGCAAACACCCACATAGTCGTGTAGACACAAATACTTTGGCTCAATTCAAAGTGCTTCGTCGGCTCGAAGGCTGAGAAACTATTCTGCCGACGCATCAAAAGTACCAATAAAAACAAGTCAAATTTACAAAGTGCAAAAGTACATCAAGAATCCAAAGTGGAAGCTCAAATGCAAGGATCACAATGAAGATGGGATTGGGATGTAAACCCACCTTGTTGTAGTAGTGGATGTGAACTGTATGCCAGTTACCATCGCTCACACCCCCTGGCAGGAAGGGACTCACCTGGGTGGATGACTCACCTACAGACGGGTAAATGAAGAATATGCCATTAAAATGAATTCAAATGTAGCTCTTATGGGTCTCCTCTTTTTTTAAGGGTGTCGATGCTCCAAATATATCGACTTTATTTACAATGACCCCAAAACCTCTGTAAGAACTGTTTGCAAAGACCAAATCAGCAGCATTCATTACCTGAATCCACTCTTAGATAAACAGATTTTTGTGTCTCAGGAGGAACGCTTGTTTTTACAGGCCTGCTGCACATGTTCATGGGTCAAAAGAAAAGCAAACAACAACAGCAGACATATGGTCTCTGTTTATAGAGCACAAATTTCACGCAAACAAAACCAAACAAGAGTGCACATAAAGATACAATACCTGTGGAGTATTTGAACACCACTTGTCCTTCTTGGATCTCTAAGGCAATGAAGTCATGTTTCTCGTTAAAGCGTCCATTATAGAAGAGAAGACCACTGTTCTCCAGAGTGGCAAATCTAAAAGACGGATGTACATAGAAATTTGAAGTTTATTGACAAATGCTGTATGCAGTAGAGAATTTATTAACACAGCCATGGTAAAAAGAAAACTGTTAGGTAAGGAGTGAAAGACTAAGTACACCCTTAATGCTTAGCATCGATGATCAAATTGTGATGATCAGTGATTAATTGATCATCCTAATCAGTATGACTACTGATTATGATGTAAAGTAGAAGTTTTGGCAGTTTGTTGGTCTGAAGCATTGGGGTGTATCAACGCAATGCCAAACACAAAGGACATCAGCAACGATTGTAATGAAGCAACTGTTTCTGCCCATCAGCCTCTGAAGCATTAAAGCATTAAAAGGCCTTATCCAAGCATACACAGAGAAAGATTATTCACAAGTGGAAAACATTCAAGACAGCTGAGAATCTTTGATGTGCAGGAGTGGACATAACCGGAAATTCATCCAGACTGCGTCATGCTCAGAGAAATTGCAAAAACCCAAGAGGCACAGGCCTCAGTTAGCATGTTAAATATTAACATTCATGACAGTATAATTAGAAAAAGACTGAACTAGTATGGATGTTTGGAAGGGCTGCCAAGAGAAAGTCTCGTCTGTCTAAAAAGAACATGGCAGCCCGGCTTATGTTTGCAGACCTGCCAAACCTAGAAAGTCAAAGAGAAAGCCAAATATCAGCACCTCATACCAACTGGGGACTTGCTTTGAAGCTGCCAAAAAAAGCATTCTGGATTAATTCTTGTTAAATACATAATGACGTGGTGTAATATGTCGTGCACTGTTGTGCATTTAAGGTTGTTGTTATGGTCTGTGGGATGAACAGGCCAAGTGTGATGTTGAGGACCCAAATGTAGGTGCTTGGAGACGAAATAATCTTAAGGCGAGCTGTTTATTAGGCTGAATGATCCACAAACCAAAAGTAAGCAGAAAATGCAAAAGGAACTGAAAACTTCTAAACAATGAAGACACTTAGAAAGACATTAGGCAGCACAAGGAACCAGAATCACTGGGAAAATGAGCTGATGCTCCAACAAAGGACAAAGGGAGACCGGCACATATATACACAGGAGAGTGATTAGGGGAGTGAAGTCAGCTGGGAAACACAGCAGGAACAAATTAGGCATAACAAGACAAGGGAAGCAAAACTAAACATAAAGCACAGAGATGAGTGACTATCAAAATAAAACAGGAAGTAACTAATATAAGGACCAGGATTTAGACAGATTAGCTTGACACATACAAAAGAGCAAACTGACACAAAGACAAGACTGACTCAACATGATATTAAAGGCAAAAACACAGAAAAGAAGCTAAGAGGACAGGGAGAGAACAAAGAAACCTAACGTAATTTGTGACTATACCAGATACATAAAATAATACAACAGGAAACTGATGGGGATTCAAAAACTCAAAAGGACAAGAAAACCAAAGACAGAAACAAAAACCTACTTTCAAAGTACAAAACAATAATGAATTAGGAAGATTTGAAAGTCCAAAACACAACGACCCCAGACCACAACAGCTATATTTAAATAATTTTAAAGCCTGATCAGAATTTTTATTACCTTAGAATTGATAGAGGGTGTACTCTCTTTTTACCATGGCTGTACATTTTTATATGCATGCAGAGAGAATATGACACATTTTAAATTATATTTTTCACTCCGATACAGGAAGAAACAGAAACAAAAAACTATCTCAGACACAGCAGAACAAAAATGACTCCTGGCTAGTGCGGAAGAACAAAAGGTATTCAGACTATGCCAGAGTTAATAAACCATACTGCTGGAGTCTTCCTCTCCCTCAGCTGCTCAGACGCAAATAAAAAGTCTATTTTGCACAGAACAGATGAGAAATACTCTGTCCTGGTGGCAAGACAGAAAAGATTCTCACTGCATAAAATGTCCACGTTAAAAAGTACTGAGATGTTGTTTTAAACATGATACCACAACAGTTTGCCTGTTTTTACTATTCCCTTCAACTAAGCGCCTCAATTGTAAAATCGTACACTGCAATTTGTAGGCAGCTGACAAATAGCACCTGCAGGGAAATTTTTATTCAAGGTTTCTCTACTTTCAGTGAGGTTCAGTGGTGTCACAAATCGGATCCAGCCCAACTCCGCTAGAGAGTCAAATAAATCCAGTGCACAGATGCAGGAGGTCAGGTTCAGCTACAGGAAAGAAGCCCTAGAGCAGCATGGTTATAAATGTCTGCCTTTCAAACGGTTTTAAGTTGTTGAAGAAAAATATTCTTCTACTGTTTCCTATTTTGTTGAGTTAAAATTATCATATCTGCATTTTATTTTCCTGGTTTAAATTCCAATGGAAATCATTCCTGCACTATAGAATTGTAAGGAAATAAGAGCATCTTATCGCCGTTCTGGTGAATCTGAGGATGCTGCCATTGTCTAAAATAAACCCAGGGTTTCTGGTTAGCAAATATGTGCCTTCTTTGTATGGATTTGCTGTCACTCCGACTGCACTGTGCCAAAATATCTAGTATGCATATCTAATATATCCGTGCCACCAGAAATAGCTAAAAAAAAAAAAATAATAATAATAATAAAATTGTAACCTGAGCTTTGATAGAGTAACTGGAGATAATGTGTGGAGTCAGCCAAGCGGAGACACAGAGGAGCCGAAGGAGTAAATAAATGCAAAGAAGCATGCTTTATATGTTCAGCAGGTCTGTTTTTGTCAGTGTTATTGCTGTTTGTGAAATTCATTATGTGCCGCCAAGAACTGCATTAAACAAATTAATATGATGTGACTTATTCCCAAAAGCAATAAACTACAAGATGGAATCATGTGTTTATGATCATTTCTATTCCTTAAACTCGGTTAGCTTAGCAGTCAATTTCAAGCAGAGCTGAAGAAAAGAAAACAAACGCTGTCAGAAACACACATGCACACACTCTCTCTCATGCAACTGCCTTTCAAATGCATTAAAAACTTGAGCTCAAGTCATGGCAGTGGTTTCGTATTCATAGAGAGCAGAGTCATATTGTCGCTTATGCTTTCATATGCAGTTAGATCTATAGAAATCTAAAAGAGGCATCTTGTGGAGGGAAGTCTATTTTGCCCTCAATTAACACATGAAACAGGAGCTTAAATTTAAAACATGTTTATCTATTTTCATAATAATTTGTTTTCCATATAGTTTATGTCTCTCCTATACTGTACATAAAAGATGGACGTAGCCAATGTGATGTCACACATTAGCTTGTTAGTCTTTCCCTTGAAGCTTCAGAATTAGCATGTAGGAAGCTGCCATATTATTCACATGGAGCCAAAAGTAAACATATTTGGATGGCAGTATGAAGCCGTAAGTTCTCAGCTAATGGAAATATGAGACCAGATGGCAACCACCAAGTAATTATTTCCCCACCAGTTGTGAACGGTTACTGCTATTTAGTAACATGTTAATAAAATACTGGAATTTTCTTCATGAAAACTGGAGCACAGACCTCTGGCACTGTGGTACCACTGTGCACAAAGTAAACCATGTTATTTATTTGAATTTAATTCCATTTAAAATGTGACTACACCCAATGATTTAAGACTTATTACAGTTTAACAAAAACTAATAAAAGACCATTCTAAATAAAATAAAAAAATCATCAAGGGGGATTTTAACTAGAAACCAAAGCTGCTTTTTGTACCAAGTTTTAAAGTTCTCAGACTCCAGTGGCAACTCAAGGAACTGCAGTTTTTTGGCACTTTGCCGGCTTCATTTTTCAGTCTTGCTGCTTGGTGCTGCCATAAAGCAGAACTACACACTAAGAACAAAACTCACAGATCTGACTGGGTTTGAACGAATGTGAAAGCATGGTGCTGAAAAAGACCACACATTATCTGTTCAAAAAAAATCAATGCTTTTCTCAAGAAGTCCTTGATTAAAATTACTGAAAGAAAATGGAAGATTAACTCCTTTCTATACACAGATTTTTCCACCCAGCGTGGGACTCTTTTAAACCAACAACAACACACAGAGAAATGTTAACACGATACCTGCTAAATGCTCATAAAGCAAGCTTCTCTTAAAAAAAAGAAAACATGCCCTTCATGCTTCATTCCTTAACTTAACTAATGGTGACCACAAATCAACAGAAGAAACCACATGTAGTGCTTTTATGCACCAATAATGCTCATTTAGCAAGCAATACAGTGACCGCAATGTCTCACGGCAACTACTCCATGGTAGCCACATCAGCTTAGCAACAACCCCATGGGCAACATCACCCTAGCAACTATCATTAGACGACATCACCCATGGCAACCATCCATCCCATAACCTTGCCTGACCACTCTTAAGCACCACTTCAATTCTCTTGTGGGCTTTGTATGTCTAGAGGCAAGCAGCAACTGAAAAATGATTTTGGATGGGTAAAAGGAGTCACTGACCTCTGCCACAACATTAGCATTACATATATGCTCAGGCAGAAAGTGTTAACTCAAATAAAAACGTGCTGCGAGCGAGCCAAGCAAAACGGAAAGATTTGCAAAAATTCTCTTGTAGGTAAAGTCAGTGCCACGGTTTAATTTACAATCTTAGTAAATAAAAAAATTATGATGACTTGTGTAGAAATGCTGTGAGATTCTTGAAACCTTGGCCAAAATCCTGCGGCAAATGTGCCCCATACACATTTGTACACGCATGATTAAAAGAATGTACACAGTCTGTGACTGGTAAGGTAAAACATGCCAGGACATCATGTGGCTCCACTGTGGTGGACTACACGTCAGCCTACCCTAACAAGCAAAAGATTCCCTTTTTTAACCTAAGGAGGAGACACAAATCTCTTGGGGGTTTTGTGAGGAAAGGTATCTATTGTAAAAACCAAACATGCAGTTACCCACTGTGATGACTCACGATGAGGGAGCAGCTGAAAGTTGTGTTTACATATCAGGACATATTAAAAAAATATTCTGGTCCTAACCAGGGCTCAAATATAACCTCACATGAACAAAACCCAATTCATCAGCCCTGTACCATCATGCTTGACAGGTGGTGTTTGTCCTGATATGCTGTGCTAACATTAGCTGCTTACTTAACATTTTACCTTCTCATTCATACATAGTCACTTCTTCCCCAAAAAATCAAGCCGTAATGCTAAACTCAAAGTTTCAAAAGAGGGAACGTGATATCATGGTGCCATGGCCTTCTTTCATATACAGTCTGTGGTTTTAGTTATTAATTGGGCACTTTAAATTAATAGCCCTACTGACTAAGAAGCATGTTTTTTTCTGAGTTGGTTCCAACCATGAAGTCATTTCCTTTCAGAGCTTTTTGCAGCAGGATAGTCAGATGGAAGATAAGAACATAGAAGAGAAAGAAAGACAGCAAAGCACAGCAGATGGGATTAAATGGAGAAGCAATGCTTTTAAAGAAGCGAGGTAGAGGGAGGATACAGGGAAGCCATAAATAAAAGGATCACTCTCCAAGATGGAGATGATATAATTTTAAAAAACAGCTTAAAGAAAAGTGGAGACACTATAAGAGGGAATCAGAGAATGATCCATCCTGCTATATCTGATGGAAGCTGAAAGAAGAGACAAAAAAATAATAGAGAAGAAGAGAGGAAAGGAAATGACAGAATGTTTACTCAAGACTACTCACGTTAACGAGATGGAGAGGTGAAATCTCTGTCTGAGGCCCCGGAACATGACAAAGGACTTGGGCGGGAAGGACCGGGCGGTGACGGTGCAGTACGGTCGCTCATAGGCTCCTGCCGGGCACTCGCATCGGAAACCCCCACCCGAAAGCTCCCGGCACGTCCCTCCGTTACGACACACACCTGGCATGCACCTGCCCTGCCGGTGGTCAAACTCACAACGATCACCTGAAACAGAAAACCCCCCACAATGTTAGTGTTAGCCAACCAAAGCGACCATATAAGCCGTAAATCTCTCAGTAGTTAATCTAACTTTTGCTCAAAGTTTCTGTATATATGCAGAAATATCAATGCAACAGATTCTGATAAAAATAAACATTCTTGGTATTTATGAACATTTCCACCATTGTTTTTTGCACCAATTTAAAAGGCTAACATCAAATAAACAAATAAATAAATAAATTCCCATCAGTATCCTGCCACTTTTGCCATTTCAAAGCGTGTTTCACAGGCAATTAATATTCACAGGATCTGACCTCACTGCTCCCATTGGCAGGTCTGTCAAAACACACAGGTGCTGTGCGACAAAACATTGTTCATAGCAGCAGAGCACAACTGAAAAATCCACTAAACCTCCAGTGCAACAAATCCCTGATTAAAGTTGAAATAAAACACTGTCTTAATTTAAATAATTTACCGATCTGAGCATGGTGGGGATAATGAGCAGGAAATATGCGCCACGGTTTAAGTTTTTCTCAACATGCTGTAAGTATTACAGCAATATTTTCTGTGAATACAGCTTGTTTTATTCTCCCACAGTAAAATCAAAAATGCACTTCCTGTTCATTTATACTAAGCTGTTTTCTGTTTTCAGTTTACTCCCTTGCTTTACTTCCTCATGGTTTAAGTGATAAAATGTTCAAAATTACTCATACAGACCGCACATAAAACACAAACTTTCAGATAGTTTTAGAATTTATGCATAGTCAGTGTGTTACAGTGAAGTTAGAGTCTGAGTTTGATTAAAGAGATTTGCTTCATAGTGCTGTATCATCACCTTTTAATGCATTCGCTGGAGGCAGGGTGGGCTGTGTTTGTCTCATCAATGTTGACAGGTAGCTGTAATATTATTGGAAAAGCAGGAGAGTTTCTAGCAACACCACTTGAGTTTTTTTTAAAATCACCAATATTTTGACCCGACCTTTTAGAATTCAGGGGCTGAGCACTAAAGTAACAATGTCTTATATTCAATCTAACTCCAAAAGAGGCTGAAACATATGGTGAGACATGCGCAAACTCTCTACAACCCTGTAATGCCAAACATCAAAAATAAATTGCACAACGCATTTTTAGGCAATAAACTGCTCAAATGTAGCAATAAACACCTCAGTTTAAAAACAAATGTCTGGCAATCATTAGGCTTTACAGGGTTAAATAGGCAGATTTGGCACATGTTCGTAAACGCAAATATCTACTCAGCAACTCAGCGCATTTATGCATGTAGACTTGGTTCAAGACGACTTGTTGAAGCTCAAACTGAGCATCAGAACGGGGAAGAAAGTGAGTCTGGCGTGGTTGTTGGCTCCAGACTGGCTGTTCTGAGTATTTTAGAAACTGCTGATCTGCTGCAATTTTATATATCCTGTGGCAAAGCTCAAATCAACTGCAATGCTATCTAGTCAGTATGGAACAAAATATGTGTAATTTTCCAGCACCTTGTTGAGTCTATGCCATGAAGAATAATGGCAGTTCTGAAGGCAAAAGGAGATCCAACCCAGTCTTGGCAAAGTGTACCTAATAAAGTGGCTGGTAAGTGTATATCATTATGAATAATCAAAATAAATATTTCAGTGAGACTAGGGTGTGATTGGCTGAGGGAAATGCTCTTCCCACTCCTCCCACTCTGGTCTGCATGTTCCTGCCTCTGCTAAAAATTTTTTTACCCCCGCTGGGGAGGGAAGAGTGCTGTAACACATTAGTATGCCAAGTCATTTCAGAAATTTATTGACTCTCAAGGTCTGAAAGTCTGCTGGTGAACTCAGGAAAAACATGTTTTTTCTATTTTTTTCCCATAAATTGCCTCCTGAGTAAGAAAATACAGGGCCTAATATACAGTAGAAACAACAATGATGCATAACAACAACATCACTGTACTGCAGCTAAACTTTACTGCTCTTCAGCATAAAATTACAACTTTAAATTTTTTACTAAAGCAGCTAACAAGAGGCCTTGTGGTTAATGGTGTCACACTTTTTCATTACATTAACTCAAACGTGTGGTGTATTCCTCTGGCTATCACGGGGTCCAGCATGTGTGTGAGCCTGGTTAGGACTACTGCAGTGACTGCACAGAGGTACTAGTGCAATAATAGGCTAAAATGATTGCAAACTGGCATTTTTAGTCAGCGCCTGTGGATATACCAAAATACTGTCTGAGAAGATGACTTCTCTTCTACAGCCTCCAGAAGCCTGACTGAATTTTTCCATCACAGCAATCATCCAAAGCACACTGCCAAAGTCACACAAGAGTTTCTTAAGGAAGAAAAAAATATTAGCTGTCCAAGTATGTAACCTGACTTGAATACAAAAGAAACATTGGGGATATTATAAACTGAAATAAAAAAGGTTTCTGAAGAAAGAGTTTAGAAAAAGTAAATTACATGAAGTTCCTGTTTTAGGAACCCTCAGATTTTAATTCTGCAAAGGGGCACAGGCAATAATAAATACTTAAAGGGCATACAATTTAAATTAGGATAACATTGTACATTAAGCTCTGATCATCATCATATATGATCGACAGTGAAATGAATCAGAGAAACGTAGCTTTCATGCTCACCGCTGCTGGTTTCGCAGGTTCATTACCCTCAGCACAGGACTTATATATATGTCGCCTGAGAAATGTCTCTCTACAGGTGGTACAATGAAGCTCATGAAAATTACCTTTCCTGTAAAGCAACAGGTCTTTTTCCCATGTTAAAAGTTTAAGTGGCAGTGGCAGATTTCCTTTCCTATCAAGCATTCAACCACATTCATCAAGCGCTTTCGATGTAAATTATTCCCTGATTAGCCGATGGGAACGGCAGGGTGCTGATTCCTGAGAAGCAGTAGTAAGTGTAACTGTTGCGCAGGAACTAACATTTACCATCACTCAAACAAACACAAACTGCATGTATTTTTTTTTTAAAAACAACAAAATTACAGCTGCAAGATTTCACCTGTCAACAATAAGACTCTGTATAACATTTGGAATTTATGATAGAAAAGGGGGTTGAGGAGGGTGTGGGGGATTTGCTGAATAACAAAAACAACATGAGCAAATCTGCAGACGAGAATAAACAGATTTGGCTGCCAGTCAAAGAAGCTCCAGTCTAGAGTGTCTCAAGAGGCATAAACACCCACACAGCACACACACACACACACACACACACACACACACACACACACACACACACACACAGAGGCACATATTCAGTCAACCACATAAAAAGGTATGAAGGAATACGCTCTCTCTTTCATGGTTTTCACCTTTCCTGGAGCATATTTGGACACACACACATTGTCTGACATTTAGCAGCTACACGCAAAAAACACCCACACCCAGTGGCCTCCACATCACCAGAGCAGACAGGGTTTGAAACTAGCCTTAAGATAGATGGCTCCTTGAGGACCAACTTTAGAACCTGGGGATGGCTTCACACACACACACACACACACACACACACACACACACACACACACACACACACACACACACAGACAACCCCAGGAAGATACCAAATAAACAAAACACATAACCAAACATATAAATAATAAATTAAATTCATTATTTTTAACACATAAACACACACACTCAATTTCATGTCCTTTCTTCGATTCTCTTTTTCTCTGTGTCACACGCACACACGGACACACACACACACACAAACGTGCAAACACACATGGATCATTGCTCCTGCCCTCGAGGCTGTCGGGTTTTATCGTGTAACTGTCTCTGTTGGCACTATGTTTGCACTGCTTTTAGTTTGTGCCAGCATACCCACTGGCAGACTTCTCACATCTTAGCATTATCGCACACACACAACTAAAAACACAACAACAATAAATCATGCGTGTGTAAGTCAATAAACATCCTCACCTTTCAGCAGATACAAATAATATCTGACACACATCACGCACAAACACACAGGAATTTGAGGGTGAGTCATGACCACACACACAAATGCACTGCCAGTCAGAGACACAAAGACAGGAGAAGCTGTAAAAGTCAGTCAGACTCGATACACACTGATACTGACTACGTGTGACGCACACCACATAAACTGAAAGGAACAGTGATTAAGCATTTTAAGCTCGCAAAAGAATTAGTGATATAATTTGCTAAATATGTCACCTCTCCCCTGCCATTAGTCCTTTCCTACGCCTCTCCAGCATCCACCTGTCCTCCACTGCATGCACTTCTTCGCCTTGACTTCAAATCCAAACGATAACTTCCCTATCAGTCATTTTAACATCTTTTTCATTTCATCCAACCCGTTTTCCCACAACACCTTCCCCCATGTGCCACCAGGCAGCCGATATCTGCTGGTTTTGGCTGACAAACATACTCTCTCACACACTATCAAATCAGCCTGAGGATGGACACACACACACACACACACACACACACACACACACACACACA